AAGTGTCAAATTTGGAGCTTTAAGTCCTCCACGTTCTCTAACATCTTGAATAATCTTAAATTTAACCCTCGCTTTCTTGCCCTCCCAGATGAAGCGATTCAAATCTCTCTGCCATTCTTTCAAGTTAAGTTCATTTTTTAAAATAGGTAACATCTGAAATAGAAAAAGAAACTTAGGTAAAATGTTCATTTTGATGGCCACCTGCAGCAGATCTTGATTCTTTCTTCACTTTAGGTTATTTTTCTGGATGACATTGGTGCAAACTTAAAGCCTGCTCAGAAGATGGGGATGACAACAATCCTGGTGAAAGATGCTGATTCTGCTTTGAAGCAGCTTCAAGATCTGACGGGGGTTCAGGTAAGTGGTCCTTATCTTGGCTTTGGTATGAGCAGTTTCTTTGATCTCATATGGATCTGTTTTTCAATCTTTGCTACAGGGTTGTTACAAATAAGCAAATCAAGAGAACAAACTTTTAAAGCTTTCTTCAAAGCAAAGATAGGAAGGCCCACTATATTTTTTTTTCAGGCATGAATTCCACAGATTAGGAATTATGGAACAACTACAAAGCGTTTTGGTGCATTTTATTGATTTGGAAAATGAAGTCAATAATTAGAGTGATTAGAGTCGTCTTAAAACTGTATCCAGATTTGTATTGTAAAGGAGTGGGAAGTCCTCTAGATAATTTGGATCCAAAATATTTAGGGCATTAATAATCAAAAACAATTCTGTGAATTGGAAGTAGCTAGCGAGGCTGGTATAGATATCTTTAAAGTGATGCCATCATATAGTTAAAGGGCTGGCTTGGTAATATGAGGCTATCAAACTGCAATTACAGGCATCCCTTACTATTATACATAACAGTTGGAGTGAAAATTAGCAACATTTGTAAAGAAGGCTCTGAAAATCTTGCTTAGGAAGAATGACTTCTGGACTGAGGCAGCTGTCAAAGAACTGACCATATTCCTCCTTTCAGGATCACAGTGTTCCCAAAATGGCTTGCAAGCAATATAAACAACTAAATACAATATAACAACCATTCCTGAGAAATAAAAGTTCTAGGATCCTTTCCTTAGAACTGTTTACAGGCAATATCTAGGGTTGTGGGCAGGCAGGTGGAAGAGAAGGAAAGAATCCAACTGGGCAATTTCTGGAATAGCTGTTGCCTTTCTACTTCCATCTCTTTTGGGGTCCATTCTCATGGGATAACTATATGTG